CTAAATCATAAGTGTACTACAAACCATCGCCTGCTTGATTTAACATGAAGCATATTATGCCGAAGAACCAATATAATGAACAAGAACTTAGTGTTTAACCATCAGACATGGTATCCATATATCTATAGCGTTCTGCCAATTATGTAATTTATGCCATTGGAGGTAACAAAATCTCAAGCACAGTGAGCAACATAATAACATCCTCAGCTATAATATCAAGTATCAAACAAGATGAAGGTCATTATCACCTCGCAGCACTTTGCTTATCAAAAAACTTTATGCCTAAACTATCAAACAATTGAGTCACATCATATAAACACCAAACACACACATGTTCTCGCGCGCCCACATGAACACACAGTTACCAGCAGTAGTACTACTAGACAGCAACACATACATATAAACACATCAAAATCCATTACTATACACAATTAAATTCCATTCAAGCTACCAAAACTACTACTTATTTAATATTCATCCCAACAAACCATCAAACACAATGATTTCAAACTTAAAAACAACAAAAACAAACCAATAAAAACAAAATTAAAAACCCCAATTTTACCAGCCAATGCCTTGTAGCAAAGCAAACATCAAGACGACTGATCCACCATCTAAGCTGGAACCAAATACTTCTTCCATCCCCCAATTTGCGAAACCTTAAAAACACACAGAACAACAGCCAAGAAACCAACAAAACGCCAGTGGCTTCTAAGAACACAGCTTGAGATTGAGTAAACTTCTTAATTTGGTCAAAAGAAAAGATTGTTTCTGGGAATGAAATTGAGTAATCAACCCCAGAATTTACAATAAATTTTGAAGGACTTGTAAATAATTCGCAACTTTTTGTGGTGGCATTGAAGAGGTACCCAGGTGAACAAGCACAAAGGGTTTTGTTATATAACACTGAATTAACAGGACATGGAGCTTTGAAAGCTGACATCTCAAATTGAATCAAGAAAAACCCAGAAAACAAATTTTTTTTAAAAAAAAAAAAACAGAATTTGGGGAAATTGGGAATCTTAGATATTATCTAAAATCCCAATATTCCCAGATTTATTCTGGATCAGAGAAGCTGAAAATTGATCTGGGTAAACATAATTTTGACTTTTAAAGAAGGGATTTTATTGTGAACTGGGTTTAGCTGCTAAAGGTTAGAATATTAGCTAATGAATCGAATTAATGCTTGAAAATATGGAGAAAATTAAATGATAAAGTTGAATTTCTTGGAATGTGAAAGCGTACAGAAATTATTGACGTGAGAAATGAATGATTGAAGAAGAGGAGAGAGAAAGAGAAGAGTGGTCAAATTGTTGAAGAAGAAGAAGTATGGCAGAGAAGCAAAGAATGTTGTTGCTACAGAATACAGACAGTAGGAGAGAGAAATAAAGGTTTTGAATGTAAATAAATCTATGTCGTGTTTTCTAGAGTTGCTCAGAAAACATGTAATTAGTACAGAATTTATTAGTCTAATTACAATCACTGATTTTATACATTGTATACTACGGGGCTTTTGGTGACAGGGATAGCGATTATGAAGATAAGAAGGTAGAATAAAGATAGGAATTCCCGTAATATATTAAAAATAAAAATAAAAAATAAATAAATAAAAAAAGGAATTAGGCCCTGTTTAGTTCACCTTATTTTGTTTATCTGAACTTATCTGATCTGGTCTGGTTTGATCTGATTTTGTCTGATCTAATCTGATCTTATTGTCTAATTTGACCAAATTTTGACTTTAAATGAACGATAATCTGTAAGGAAAAAATATATCAAGTGAGATCTTGTTAGATTCTTAATAATGTGTATTTTATTAATATGTAATTTTCATAAAAAAAAATTCATTACGAAATTAAAGATATTTAGCGATAAAAAATTACACATAAAACGATGATTTGATCTGGACATCTTATCTAAACTTATTTATTTTTTTTAAATAAGTAAAAAAATAAGTTGAACTATACAAGGCCTTAGTAGGTGGGATAAAGATAAAAATTATGTTATCCATTGTTTTGGGAATCAAATTAAATAAGTAATAAAATTACTTAATTATCCTTACTAACATTTCTCCTCTCTCCTCCTTTCCTTTCATTAAGGGTAAAATTGTCTTTTAATTTTCAATTTTAGTCCCCAAACCTTATACATGCTCCCCTTGTTATAAGAATAGAGGGATAACTCAATTTTTTATCCCTATCCTTTTTATGTGGGATAGAATAATTCCCATTAAACAAACAAGGGATTATTAATCCCTTATCCCACCATTCATCCCTAAAAACAAACAACCCCTTAAGGTTTTGAATCTTTTGAAAAGAAAATGTCATGGAGTAAAAGTTGCCTTAAGAGTTAAGAGTACATACTACATATGAGGATGAAATCATACAGCGTACTGCATATATGATCTATTGTACGTACTATTCTTATTATTTTTTTTTTTGTTGGTAAGATGAAGGGCTCTATCGGGCCGGAACCCCTCACGGGACAACCCGGCCCAGATTAGCAAGCTAGACAATGTGGGAAAGTGGGAAAAGGTAATGGACTCTCACTCTCCAAATTGTCACTAATGAGCTGAGGATTGAACCTCTAACCTCATGATTGAAAGGTAATCTCATTTCCACAAGACCAAACTTGGCTTGGTATACATACTATTATTTGGTAGAAGTATTATTTCATTGGAAATGGATTCAAATAAATATCGTTATTGAGTGTACTGGTACAAAGGTTTAGGTGACAATTACTACTTACCTAGGAATCAAAGTTATTAAAATCCCGATTTAAATCTTAGAATCTTACAATTTTACGTTTCATGTATGTCATACGATTCAATTTACGATTCTATCCGAGTTCACATATTTCTCTTAACTAGCGAAATCCTTAAGTAAAAGTTTAAAACATGCCTATATAGTTATTTATAAATATATATTGTCAATTATTGGTTGGTTCATGGATAAACAACTATTTGCTATTAATAATTAAGTTTCTAACTCATAACTTAAATATATTTAATTAAATTTATATATGACGTCTTGATTATGCATGTCGATAGAATCTTACGATTCTACGATTCGATTTTACGATTTGATTCTAAGAGCGCATTTCGATTCAAAGTAAAATCTCATTTTTGATAACTTTGCTAGGGATAATAGTTATCACCTATATGTTGTTAGTTTCATTTACAATTTCAAAATAGTGCAAGTAGAAAGAAATAGCGCAATGGAGGGAGCCTAGGTTACTCAATTTGAGTAACAAATGGCAATCTTGTAAATATTGGTCTTGAAATTCGTGCATAGCTAGCATTCCTTTATTCGTCATCTCTCCGCCATCGTTCACCACAATCACAGCTACCATAGCCATCCACCACCATCATCACAGCTACCATCTCTTCGCCGAACACATCACAACAACCACCATCGACCTCTTCTTCTTCGTCCCTTTTCAAGCCCTCAACGCGCCGAACACATCACAACAACCACCATCGACCTCCTCTTCTTCGTCCCTTTTTAAGCCCTCAACGCCGCTTCGCGGCGAAACAAAACAAAACTTAGTAATAAAGAGTGTCAAGTAGGGCCATACCAACACCTTAAGGAAGCATCTTGTTCGTGGAAGCAATTTTAAGCACCTTAGGTGGTGGAAATGAGGAGGTGTTGATGGAGGAAGCTAGACTATATATGGAGGATGGAGGAGCCAAAAATGGAGGAAATCTAAGATGTGAAGATGAAGGGTAGATGAAGAAAGCAATCAAATCGTGGCCTGATTATTTTGCCCCCTACTTAGGCAGGCGAAATGACAATCGTGTCCCTTTGAGTAATAATTGATGTTACTCGATCAAATTGAGTAACCAGGATTTACTCAGCGCAATGAGTATAAAATCACAATCCAACCATCTATCTCTATTACTCTGTATTAAAGAAATGTAGGATTAAGAGGTAATCAAAACTCGGGCGGGGACCAGGTCTTGGCGTAAAATATCATACCCAAATCCGCAAAAAAGTGTCTGCCAAGACGGACTATTGAGCTTTATTCAGGTCAGATTTGGGTTTTAAGCTAAAAATGTGTTGTTAGGCTGCCCAAACCATCATTTTACTCAATCCATACTGAATCGAGCTAGTGTGCTCAACCATTGATAATCACCTCTAGTATCCAGGTAATTAGCACCTCATTTTTCAACTTACATTAATTTTCACGCACTAAAATCATTTAAATGACCAAAACTCTTATAACCAAATATAACTCCAGTAGGAAATATGTCTACAATTATCATGTGGACATCATTTATAATCAGTGATATTTGGAAATAAAATCAATTAAGAAATCATTATTATATAGATAACTCATACATAACACAAAGAGTTACAAACTAAATCCTTGTTATATTCAACTTATTTTTGCTGACCTGAAATTATATTTCTTGAACTGAAATTATTTGTATTGATTCTCTATTATATATTTTTTTAGATCATGTTTACTTCACCTTATTTTTGATGAATTGAAAGTATTTTTGTTGAACTTAAATTATTTTTACTATAAAGAAATTAATTTTATTGTATTAAAACTATTTTAACTGATTTAATTTTTTTTTTATTGATTTATCATTAGTTTTCTTCTTTAAAGTTACTTATTTTTTCTTTGAAATTATTTTTACAAACTGAAATAATTTTTTTTTAGATGAAGTGGACATAGCCTAAAAAGTTATTGATTTTTACTAAAATGAAAATTATTTTATTAAATATTATTTTTGTAACGTGAAGAGAACAAGGTCTAATATTAATTTAATAAACTAGGAAAGCCAGTAATGAGTAAAGGATTAGTTGCTTTCAAAAAAAAAAAAAAAAGATTAGTTGACAATAAAATTAAGAAAGATTGAAGAAAATAGTCAGATGTACTACATTGAAAATAAGTAAATAACCCTAATAATTTCCAAAAATCAATCAAAAGTACAAATACTCTACTTTTATCATATACTTAATAAAAGTCGTCTCATTACCCCCCTCCTCTGTTTTAGACTCTTCTTCCTTAACCCCCCCAAACCCCTTCTTCTCACCCACCATCGCCTCTCTCTCTCTCTCTCTCTCTCTCTCTCTCTCTCTCTCTCTCCTCCTCACTCCCATTAAATCAAAAACTTCAAATCTCCAAATTTCACACCAAATTTCCCCAATAAATTGAAATTCAACAAAAAAATTCCCAGAATAAACCTACTTTCGAAATCCCCAGAAAAGATCCCCCAAAAAAAAAACCCCAAATCAATCAAATAATAATGGAACCCTTATCAATTCAACCAACCGAATCATCAATTTTACTATTTCTACCAATTTTTTTTACAATTTATTTAACTGGGTATTTCATAATCTTCAAAAATTGGCCCCCAAAATTCCGCCCAGAAAGTGCAAGCTGCTTCATCTCCCTCTTTCATGGCACCCCAGCTGCAATCCTCGCTATTTTCTCTCTCCTCAACAACAACAACTCTCACCAATCTTTCTGTTTCGGTTGAAAACAATGGGACCTTGCCGAAGGTCCACTAAAATGGAGAAGACTGGATTCGATCCAAGCTGTGTTGGGCCGAAGGTTTCCTGCACAGTGAACACACGTAAACTAGCCTCGGGGGTGTTTCCGAGGAAGGCCCCTCCGATGCTAAAGTCAGTACAATGTGTAAAAAGGAAGACACTATGCAAGAGAGTTTGTAGCTTGAGGCTTTTGTGGAGTATTTCTCAATGCAAGAATGAGCATATGAGTTGGAATAATCCGTGTATGAGATAATGCATGTGTTGTTGTTGTGTCTGATCTCGTATGTGATGTTATGAGATGTCTTATGTAAGAATATGACTCTCTCCTTGAATGTGTTAATATGAGGGCTTTTATACCTCATCATATTTGGAGAGGTTGGGCTTTAGCCCAATTGGCTTACTTTGTGGGCTGACTTTTGACTTTTGAGCAATTGGAGAGTTGAACCTTGACCTTGGGCTTTTAATTGGATCATTTAGTGCTCAGGCCCAATTTTGACTAAATTGGACCCAAACAACTTGCCCCCCAGACCCGATTCGGAAGAATGACGGGTCGGGTTTGATTTAACTCAGAAAAGGAGGGAAGTAAATGATTTAATTGATCCAAAAATTTGAATTTAAACCGTAATTAATGAGATAACAACGGTTAATGATTTGCGGAAGTTGGACGGATAATGGGCGGTTTAATCACAAGACATGTGTTTAATGGTTACTTAGTGGGTACTTAAGAGAAATTAAAGCACAGACTCTTCGTATCCCGTACCTGGAGATATAAACAGAGGCGCGTCATTCTCCTCACTGATTCACCAACACAAACCCAGAATTCTTCGAGAGAGAATCCAAGAATCCGTATCAAAACTTCGCAAATTCCCCCGAGCATTGAGCTTAGAAGCTGAGACTTGCCACTACGAACTCGTAAATCGGCAACTTTCGCTTCAGATTAGGTAAATTCCTTTGATTTCAGTTTATTTTTCTTCGAATTCGAACTCCTTCCCCTCTTCTTTCGACTTTTCTCTTCGAAATAGTCCATGGCAAGAGGAGTTAGAGGTAGAGCCCGTGCTCCAAGAAGAGCAAGGCCGATTCCCGATCCTAGGAATAGGATTGGGACCTGGAATGGTCGAAGGCCGGAGTCTGACCCTGCTGATGGGATTAGGGCGACTCCCCTTTCCTCGGCTCCTCCTCAAAGAACGGATGAGCCGAGTGCTTCTGGACGGGACGATGAAATTCCCGCTGTCCTTTGGGATATCCTCCCTGGGTTTTCAGAGTGGGAGAATGCCGAAGTCGCTTCGGCCATGATAAAGAACCGCCCCTACTCATGGTGGGTAGAGAACGCCGATCAATATCGATTTGCCGAGCAAATTGAGTTGCACTACGGCATTTTTGAAGCTGATGGATATTGGTGCCGAATGCCCTCAGCATCCGATAGAATCCATCGTCCACCCCCGGGGTATGTGGGGGTGTACACGAGACAGCTTCAGTATGGGCTGAGGTTCCCTTTGGACGTTTTCGTCCGAGACTTGCTGATCCATTACAACATTTCCCTATGTCAGCTAACCCCCACCAGCATCCGAAGGGTGATGACATACTTATGGGTCTGCAAGTTCTTCAGATACGTGCCGAACCTGCACTGCTTCAGAAAGCTCCATCGGCTAGTGCCAAATATTCAGAGTGGGCACGGAAGCCATGGTTCTGGGTGGTATCGGATTGAGTCCCGGCCCCAATACTTGACCATGTGGCCAAATGACTCTTCAGACAAGGACTGGAGAGGTCAATGGATTTGGGTTAGGGCACCCATAGATCCGGGCCACCCTTGCGTCTTCAGCGCTCCCCGGTACTTAGCTGAGCCTGATCCCGAAATGGGAAGTCTAGGTCCCCCCGCAGATAACGGGGCGGATCCGAACCTGGATCAGCAACATATCTTCGGCAAGCTGCCGAACCCGGGGGGGAGTGGTCGAATGCAGCATATCCCGGAGACTTGGCTCCCCGATACGCATTACGTTTTCCAAGAGAATATGCTAGCAGCTGTTGGCCTCAGCCGAAAGTTTAAGGATGGTAAGCTTCTTCGGCTGGGGCCGAGGCTTTTAACTACCTCTTTTTCTTCTCTCGCTTTGCTTTTTTATGCTGTGCCAACATATCTGAGCTAAACTTTTTCCCTTTCCTTTTTTCAGAGCGAGACGAGACCAACGTTGGTATTAACTACGCTCGTCTTGGTGTTAACCGAGAGCGAGTTGTAACTGAACGGGCCCCGTCTATCACTGAGCCGAGGCATAGGGAAGTTCATCTGGACTCTTCCCACTTCCAAATTGAGGCTGTCGCTCTGTATCAGAGGCAGAAGCCTTGGTGGAAGAAGAGAGACCCTTGGTTTCAGCTGCTGAACGAAGAAGCTGAAGCTGCCCGCACAGCCGAAGAGGTTGCACGGGTACTTGAGGCTTGTGAAGGAGGAGAAGGGTCCTCCAGAGCTGCTGAAGCCGAAGCTGCAGCTAGAGCAGCTGAAGAAGACGAGGCTTTGCTGAAGACCTCGGTGAGCTTTCAGACAACTTTTTTCTTTTCTTCTTCTTTTTTTTTTTTTTTTTTTTTTTACTCACACTCTTCTTCCCCCCTGTCTGTTACAGTCTGAAGAGAGTAACAGACACAGAGAAGGCAAAGCTCCTGTTCGTCCCGAAGATCAAATACAAGAGTCTTCAGACTCAGATATGGACGAGCAGCCCCTTCTGAAAAGGCGCCGAAGGATGGCCATCATCGGCCCTCATGACTTTCAGCAGAGGCCGATGACCATCGGCGTCGCAATAAGGGAACCTGAGGAAGGCAATGGATCGCCGAGGGTTCCCCAGCCAACACCCCAATCTCCTCAAAAGACCCCTCCGCCACCTCCTGAGATGGAGGTGGATCAGAGGACTCCCGAACCTAAGGGAGGGGTCCAAGAAGAAATCAAGGAGAGTGCTGCTGAGCACGGAAATAAAGATGCCGTGATGTCAAGTGCTGAAGGCTTCACGGCAGATATCGCAAGAGAGGTTGAGGCTTTCGTCCTCACCCCTGAAGAAGAGGAGGTCATAGTACTTGACTCCTCTGAGAAGGACGATGCTGAGACAACCAAAGCTAATCAAGCTCCATCGTCGTCCTTCCCTTCTTTCCAGACTCTGCATTCTGGAGAAATGGGTTTCTCGGCCCCCCGAATTCCAATCCCAGATCACATCTGGGACCTCATATGGGGTCAAAACCGAGAAGGAGCTGAAGCCTACTTCGGCAGTTTTGCTGGCATGTCCGAAGTAGACAGGGCAAGGATCTGGTCGCTGAAGGCCACTGCTGGGATGGGCGAATCCAGTAGATCAGTTCCTGACCCAGCCAGGTCTAACCAACTGCTGATGATGCAGGTAATTTTCCTTCATTCCCTCCGAAATTCAGCTCTATTTTTTTTTATTACTTATTTTTATTTTTTTTTTTGTCTTCCTGTTTTCAGTTCGTGCACAATCAGACTCTCACTGTAGAGCTGATTGATACCCTACAAGATAGGGTAGACGCTGCTGTGCACGAAAGGAAGGTGGCTGAAGAGGAAGTTAAGCTTGCTAAGCTGAAGCAAGCAGCAGCTGAAGAGAAGCAGCAGGAGGTTGAGGAGTACGGTAAAAAAGCTGCCGAAGCTCTGAAAACCTTCTGCGATGCTATGGAGATGGAGGTTTTTCCCCCACTGATGGAAGGGGAAAAATTCCTCCAGGAGCATATGGGAGTGGACGTCTCCAAATTCAAGGCTGCTATTGAGAGCCGAATTCAAGAAGGAACTGCTGCACAAGCTGAAGTGCAGCAGCGTCTAGAGGCTCTTGAAGCCAGCCGAATGGCTGCTGAAGAGTTGCTCTTGGCCAAAGACGTCCAACTCTCAGAGGCTGCTGCTGCTGCTGAAGCTCAAAGAGCTAAATTCCAAGAGGCTGAGGATCAACTGCTGATCCAGAAAGTTGAAGTGGCCCAAGCTCAGACAAAGGCTTTCCAAATTCAGCAAGAGCTGAATGAGCTGAAGGGTTCCTCCTCCAAAGTCGCTGAACAGCTGAAGAAATCCAAGGAAGACTTGGAGGAGACCCAGAAGAAGCTGGCTGATGCTGAGGCTTCACTCAAGGTCCGTGTTTATACCCAAGAGGAATATGAGATGGGTTTCAGAAACGGATTCCGAGTATGCCGAAGACTCTGCCTTCATGCTGAGCCGAAGCTGGACTGGTCTAAATGTGCTGAGTGGGTCCAGAATCCCGAAGACCCTCACATGAAGTATGCAACTCCAGCTGAAGCTGAAATTCTTAAGGCTGAGGAAGCCGAAGAGGAAGCTGAAAGACTGGAGTTGGAAGCTGAGCAGAGGGAAAGGGAGGCTCGGCAAAGTGCAAAGCCCGCCTCTTCTGCTGCTGGGGCTGAGGCCACCATGGGACTCAACGCTGATCAGTCTGATCCTCCGGCTGAAGCATAGGAACTCGGGCAGTCGTCTTCAGAATCTTGCGGTTCATCATGTGCTTAACTTTAGACTTGCCGCTTTCTGAGTTTTTTGCCTTGTTTTTTGCTTCAGCTTGCCTTGTCGTACAGCAGTTTTATTTTTTTGCTTATGTACGTATTTCGGCAGCTGTTATTTTCCGCTTGTGGGCGGCTGCCGATACTGAATTATTGAACTTGTAGCTCAAAAATTTTTTCTTCAGTTGCTTTATTTTTGAATGCTTTACTGTTTCTTTTCTTCAACTCTGCCGAACATAGCTGCACTGCGTGCTTCTTGCCCCCACAGAAATTGAAGTATGACTTTAGTTGAATAAGCAATTTCTGAACTTCTTCAAAATAGATATCCGAAACACAGGGCCAACTTAAGGCAATGCTTCTGGGATACAAGTCTTACTGAAGATTGACTGTCTGAAAGTTGGATATCCGAAACACAGGGCCAACTGAAGGCAATGCTTCTGGGATACAAGTCTTACTGAAGATTGTCTGAAAGTTGGATATCCGAAACACAGGGCCAACTGAAGGCAATGCTTCTGGGATACAAGTCTTACTGAAGATTGTCTGAAAGTTGGATATCCGAAACACAGGGCCAACTGAAGGCAATGCTTGGGATATTAGCTTTCTGGGACTAACCTCTTTAGAACAAGTCTTACTGAAATTTGACTTCAGCTGAAAGACCAGCGTTCTTAAAGAAGACGTATATCCGAAACACAGGGCCAACTTAAGGCAATGTTTCGGATAATGGCTCTCTGGGATACAAGGCTCAGTTAAGGCAATATCCCAGGATTGTCCATGGACTCATGTCTTTGGAGAACAGGTCTTACTGATGTTTGATTTCAGCTGAAAGACCAGTGTTCTTTAAAAAGACTGAGTTTTGTAAGCCATCTGAAACCCAGTTACCCGAAGGCGAAGGTTTCAGACGAGGCTGATTTAAAAAGGCTGTTATCCTTGATTTTCTGTCTATCTTTGAAAAATGGATACCCGAAACACAGGGCCAACTTAAGGCAATGTTTCGGATAATGGCTCTCTGGGATACAAGGCTCAGTTAAGGCAATATCCCAGAATTGTCCATGGACTCATGTCTTTGGAGAACAAGTCTTACTGAAGTTTGACTTCAGCTGAAAGACCAGTGTTCTTTAAAAAGACTGAGTTTTGTAAGCCATCTGAAACCCAGTTACCCGAAGGCGAAGGTTTCAGACGAGGCTGATTTAAAAATTTTCAACTGTTGCTGTTATCCTTGATTTTCTGGCTATCTTTGAAAAATGGATACCCGAAACACAGGGCCAACTTAAGGCAATGTTTCGGATAATGGCTCTCTGGGATACAAGGCTCAGTTAAGGCAATATCCCAGAATTGTCCATGGACTCATGTCTTTGGAGAACAAGTCTTACTGAAGTTTGACTTCAGCTGAAAGACCGGTGTTCTTTAAAAAGACAGGTTTTGTCAGCAATCTGAAACCCAGTTACCCGAAGGCGAAGGCTTCAGACGAGGCTGAATAAAAAACCCTCAAAGAGTAGATAGAACAAAGAAAATTTTGAAAGGATAAACAGTTGTAAATTTTATATAAATGGCGGCTCCAAGGCCTGTCATTAGTTCAAAATGTACTTACAAAGATTGTTCTGCCCCGAAGGGTTTACACATGGTATTTTTTCAGTACATCAGCATTCCAGTGATTCTTCAACTCAGTTCCATCCAACTGCCGAAGTCGGTATGTCCCTGGCTGAAGCTCATCATAAATTTCATAAGGTCCCTCCCATGTAGCTGAGAGCTTCCCATGGATTCGGCCTTTCTGAACTGCAGCAGCATTCCGAAGGACAAGATCCCCAATTTTGAGAGGCCTTGCATGGACCCTTCAGTTATGGGAGATGAGGTCTGAACTTATCCCGGGCATATCAGCTGCCGAGAAAGCAAACACATCTCTGTTATCCCGCAGGAGCTGAATAAGTTCACAACGGGTGTTAGGATCAAGGTCCATCCCGATTGTTACACATTTCTCAGCATCTCCTTCGGCCAACTCTGCTGTTTCAGTCTGTTGGTCCATGTCCATTGCTGATGGACTGGACTCTTCAGAATCTGGTCTGCTGCCAATGTCAGCAGGTGTCCCAGTCTTTGTGTTCTTCGGCTGGCTCTCTGAGTCTTTCGGCTCAGATGAAGAGTCAACCTTTTCCCTTTCGGGACCTTTTTCTCTGGGCACTGATCCTTGGGCCGAAGCACTTAGGCCTTTCGGCTTTTTTGTGCTTGGCTCTCTTTCTTTTTCTTTCTCCTCCTCATCCTTGTCGTTATCTGGGCGACTACTGGATGGCTTGAGGTAGTTGCACCTTCGGGCGTCCTTCTGGTTGCCCTGTATCCTTTCGGGGAAGCCGGCGTCTGAGACATAAATCATCAGCTGATGATAAGTTGAGACGACCCCTTGGATCTCGTGAATTATGGGTCTCCCCAAAATCACGTTGTACACTGAAGGAGCGTCGATGACCAAAAACTCAATCATGACGTTCCGGGCTGCCTCATCGCAACCGATGGTGACAGGAAGTGTCACCTTCCCATCTGGATAAGTTGAAGCCCCATTGAACCCGGATACCGGATAGGGTACCGGCGTAAGGTGCTTGGGCTTCAGCTTAATTTGGTTGTAGGCCTTTCGGAACAGAATGTTTGCTCCGCTGCCACCGTCAACAAGGACCTTACTGACGTCGTGGTTGGCCACCGTGGCGATGATCACCAACGGATCCTCGTGAGGGAACGTAATCCCCCGGCAGTCGGCGGCTGTGAACGTCATGTTCGGCACCGGCGACTGGGGAGATTGAATGTCAGCGTTGTTCACCTGGTGAGTCAAAGCTCTAAGGTGACGCTTGTGCTCCCTCCGAGAGTATATTCCTCCCGAGATAACATTGATCGGAGGGAATTTCCCCTCCGGTTTTTTACTGTTTTTCCGGGGGAAATCAAGGTCCTGCCGAGGGTCCTTTGCTAACCTTTCGGATTCTTTTTTCTCGCGGTGATCCGCGATGTATTTTTTCAAGTATCCCTTCCGGACCATGTCTTCTATCTGGTCCTTCAGCTGGATACACTCTTCAGTGTTGTGGCCCGAAGACTCGTGGAACTCACACCACTGATTTTTATTTTTTCGCTGATACCACTCTGGGAGTGGTCTCGGCTTTCGGTAACTCTGCTCCTCCTTCGTCACACTGTAAATTTTGGCGCGTGGAAGAGAGAGCGGAGTGTAGGACTCGTATCTGCCTGTGTATGAGGCAAACCTGTCCTTCTTTAGGTCGCTGGCCGAAGATGGCTCCGAGGCCTTTGATTTTCCCTTTGCCTTATGGCCTTGGCCTTCAGACAAGGGTATTTGCCTCTGTTTCCCTCCCCCGGATTGAGGTTGGGTTTTTGCTTTATTCCATTCTTCGGCTCGGATGAACTTATCCGAAGCACTAAGAGCTTCCTCCAAGGTCTGCGGGGTATGCATGACCATGAAGTCTAGGAATTTTCCTGGCTGAAGGCCATTCTGCATTGCAAAAACAGCTAGCCCCTGGTCCAGCTGAGAGACGCTTGATGACTCGTTACTGAAACGGGTCAGGTAGTCTCGGAGGCTTTCGGTTTCCCCCTGTTGCAGACCCATGAGCTCTGCGGTAGTCTTTTCTCGGCGGTTTGCCGTGGAAAACTTGCTCCTGAACTTGGAGGACAGATCATCCCAACCTGTTATGGAGCCTTGCCTTACTCCCTTGGAGATCCACGCTTGCGCGACCCCCTTGAGAGTGGTTGGGAAATATTTGCACCAAGTTGCCTCGGATCTGGGGCAAAGATGCATATGAGTCTCATACGAGGCCACGTGGTCCTTCGGATCCGTGGTCCCGTCATATGTGATATGCGACGGTATTTTAACCGTGGGTACGCGCTCTTCTAGTATCCATTGCTCGAATGGTGAACTAGCGGGAAGCATAATGGCCTTGCCCTTGTTCCTGGCCGAAGGGACCGCGCTCCGCCCTCTCAGAGAGGTAGGAGTGGTTTTCGTCCCTGGCTGGGAAGTCTGGGCCTCGGCTGCAGGGAACGTGAGGCGACTACGCACGCTCGGTTCCTGGCCGCCGAGTCGGTCAAGGACGCTTCTGCGAGCAGTCTCAGGTTCCCGGCGAGCAGATTCTGGCCGAGAAGCTGAGCTGCTGCTCTTATGCGCTGCTGGTCTTGAGGATGAGGATCCTTTAAATAATTGAGAGTTCTTCTTCCTCTGTTTTTCATTTTTCCAAGAATCCTCCTCCCACTCTTCCAGTTCCCGGAAGGAAGGAAGCTTCCCACCGTCATGGTCTAACTTCCTCCGCTGATGCCGGGTATGCGGAGGAGTTCGATCACGAGGCGGTGGCATATTCTGTGCCCTCATTGCCTCCATGAGTACTGCCAGCGCTCTTGCCACCTCTTCCGAACTGGGCCCCGTCAAAGGGGTCTCCGGCCGAGTGTGGGCATGAGGCCGTGCAGCCGATGGTTGGCTTCGGGACACTGAATATGTCCTATGATCAGACTGACCCCTGCTAGACCGAGAGTGGTCCGGCCTATATTGAGAGTCATGCATTATAGGAGATAGGGAATCCTCCTTGTGTGATCCTCCCCCCGAGCCGGCACCCTTGGGAGAGTTCCGGTCCGGCGAGGGCGATTGTGTAGGGGTTTTAGGCTTTTCGCCCGCTCCTTGACGGAGGCTTTTGCTCTTGCGGTTCTTAGCCATGGCTGCTAAGACAATTGCAAGATGATCTTGGTTAGGAATTTGGCTTAAAGATTTTTGAAAGTCTTCCCCACAGACGGCGCCAAATTGTTTCGGTTGAAAACAATGGGACCTTGCCGAAGGTCCACTAAAATGGAGAAGACTGGATTCGATCCAAGCTGTGTTGGGCCGAAGGTTTCCTGCACAGTGAACACACGTAAACTAGCCTCGGGGGTGTTTCCGAGGAAGGCCCCTCCGATGCTAAAGTCAGTACAATGTGTAAAAAGGAAGACACTATGCAAGAGAGTTTGTAGCTTGAGGCTTTTGTGGAGTATTTCTCAATGCAAGAATGAGCATATGAGTTGGAATAATCCGTGTATGAGATAATGCATGTGTTGTTGTTGTGTCTGATCTCGTATGTGATGTTATGAGATGTCTTATGTAAGAATATGACTCTCTCCTTGAATGTGTTAATATGAGGGCTTTTATACCTCATCATATTTGGAGAGGTTGGGCTTTAGCCCAATTGGCTTACTTTGTGGGCTGACTTTTGACTTTTGAGCAATTGGAGAGTTGAACCTTGACCTTGGGCTTTTAATTGGATCATTTAGTGCTCAGGCCCAATTTTGACTAAATTGGACCCAAACACTTTCTTTACCCAAAATACCCCTCTCCAAAACATGATCCTTGACTACAGTATTTCTTATTTTATCATGGATTTGACCCATTACCTAATCTTCTACCCTTCTGATTTATTATTCATTGGGCATCATTTAGCTACTTTGTTCGTGTTCATAACTTGCCGTTATCTTGTTTCTCATGGTGCATTCTCCATTTTGGTGCTGCTAATTTTGGCTGAAATCACAAGTTTATTGCAAAATCTATGGACCTTGGCAAATGCAAGAAGGGTAGAATCGGAACTTGCTGAAAAAATTTACTCTATTTTGTCACTCCCTTTTTATGTAATTTATACTATTGCTAGGGTTATTTTAGGACCATTATTTGTGTATAAAATGGGCTATTCTTATTTTAAAGGAGATGGGATTGGAATTATTCCAACTTGGGTTATGATTTCTTGGATTTGTGTTATTGTAACAGCAATTTCAGTCAGTATTTTGTGGATATGGAATTTATGGGTGGAGTTGTTTAGACAATGGAGGAAGAAGAAAGTTCAATAAGTGTATAATTGTAATTTTACATTTTTTTATTGTGCAAATATAAATATTTATGTATGGCACTTTGGATTTTATATATAATATAGTTTGAAAAAATCAGGTGCTTTCAATTTGTTTTGGTTTTATTTGTATGGTTTTCAATTTGTTATTTGGTGTTTTGTGTTGTAAGTTGTGATTAGTTTATTATCTTTGCCAATTTATGACTAATTCAACTTATAATTGAAGTACATTAATTAATTTATCAAGTTTATGATGTTATCAAGTTATAGTGATGTTGTAAATGATTAAATATCTATAGCGTGCTCGGTTTTTGAAAATCTCGAGCTGAGTCGAGTAGCTTGTGAGTCATACCAAAAATGGATAAAATTTCCTTAAAATCATACCAAGTTACTCACTCCATCATATTATAATATAGTCATTTGGATTAGTTGCATTACTTGCATATGTTAAGGTTAAATGTATCTAATTTTTGTCTTTAAGCTATACTAATAATAATTTTTTAAAATTTATGAAGTAATCCTTACTATATTTTGTAGTAACTTTGACTATGTTATCCCATGCCTAATTGAGAGATCACCCCACATTCTTAGAGTAGTGCATTTCGACTTCAACAAAAACAAGAATTTTCAAGGGTTCTTATATACCGCCGTTACGATTGTGAGAGGACGTTAGAAAATATAAAAAAATACTGTATATTATTGAATTTTATATTGTTTAAGTCAGTTTTTACAGGTTATAAATATTAACCAAGAATATCAATATAACTTACGTATGTATCTCATAATTATTTTACACTACAACACATCTCTTACAATAGAAATGAAGAAAATTTCCTAAAAACTCGATCTAAAACCATTAGAAGTTCAAAAAAATACTTAAATTTGATCGATACCACTATAATATACTGTAGCTTTAAAAAACATTGCTATACTAGTATCTGTCATAGTAGCATTAAACAGAGGAAATACTATGTTATAATGTTGGTTGCAATCCAAGAAATTGACTTATGTTGTTGATCCTAAATTCCAATTGCCTTCTTAACCATGAATTTTTGTAAGCCAGTTGTAAAAATTGCTATTGGCACAAAGAAAATCGGACCACGTAATTAATGCCATACATAAGCTTGTTAACATAAAAAAAATCATAGGCATATTCTTTTCATGAGGACATAATCTCGAATTTTCTAGTACCATTGCATTTTCAATATTGAACCCACTATATTAAATTTCTATTTATTGAAATATACTTTACTAGGTAGGAAAATAAACTTGCCTTTATTCTGTACAAATTTTAGGTGATTTGCCGAAAAAGTTGGTATGATGTTTCATTATTTTGTGAGGCGTGAGTTATGACGTCCCTAAAGTGGGTAGGACCGTAGGATTTAACTTCATCTTTCTAGTGTAAAAAGGAACAAGGGGAAAAGTCTAAAAGCTCAAAAAGTTATCCTTGTTATTTCATAATAATCGTATTGGTATTATGGTAGAATCCCATTTAGGTTCTAATTGTTAGTTTATATGAAACTTTAATAAATTTTTTGTGAAAATAAAATCCAATTTCTCAAAAAATGTATTTATGTGAGATTTTGTTTGCTCATCTCGATTTGTAAATATACAACGTCAATTTTTATAATTTTTAGTAATGCATATTTTTTTTTTTTTTTGAAACATTAATAATGCATATTTGATTATATAAATGCTTAGATGTTATGCAAACTATGAAAAGATCAAAACATAATCATCATTTGAAAATAGTGTATTACAAGTATAAACAAAGTTGTCTTTATTTGTTAATTTAAACTTATTTCAGAAAAAAAGTTCATTTAAAGTAAGTTACAAAAATTCAAAGAAAATAAATTCAAACAAAATAAAATAAAATTAGTTTAGTTAAAAAATAAAAAAAAAGGTAAGATATAATAAATTTATCTATTCAAAATTTTTTTTTTTATATATATATATATAATAAATTTACTTATTTAAACAACAATAGATGAACCAAACAAGCCTACAAACTTTGGCGAAAATGGACATAATTTAATAAATAAAAGCTATCTTTCCTTTAAAAAAAAAAAAAAACCCAAACAGAGCCTTATTAGTTATTTAGAAAATTATATACTACGGTATTAGGGTATAGGGATGCTTACAACGTAGTCAATGAGATGGGAAACTTCCTTGGCCAAAATCAAGGCTGCAGAATTTGGTCTTCATTGCATTGGCAAGTCACTAAGCAACAAGATTTATCATTAGTAAGATTTGCTGTAGTTTATTAACATTCTTAGAAGCAACAATTTCCGTCTGTCCTATCTTGGTTTTTTGGAGAAAGAAAATTATTGATTCTTTCTTTACTTCAATTTGTAAGTTAAGTGCATATCTGATATTTAATAGATTGATTTAAGTGTAAATGAAATAGCTTATTGGGGCCACGTACCTCAGTCATCGGTTCCGTTCCTATAATTTTGGGAACTGGAAGTAGTTGCAACTGATCTAATTTTATTACTCGAATTTGAACCATCGATTTCAATACGGCCAATTCCTATTTGATTTTGGTTTCAATTCTGGATATTTCGAATTTTTGCTTACCCTTAATCAACCACACCTTTTGACACACAATTTTACAAAGCTTCATACACAAAGTCGAAGATCAAATTAAAGATGAATAATATTTCGTTTAATTGGAAATGTGAAAGACAATAGGAAGCTAAGAGTGAAATCAAAATCAATTATGTGTCATCAAATAACGCGGCATGAATCCATTGGTTGAATTAACTTTTAGACACAAATATTGTGACATTGATCAGTTGATTGTAATCTCAGGTCATAAACCATGTGAGGAGAATAGAAATACTATTGGCAAAAACAGTGTGGTATGAATCTATTGATTGTATTAACATGCACAGTAATCAAGTGACATAAATCAGCTAATTGAAACCTTGACGTTATACCACAAGTGAAAGAAATGAGAAAGATTGCAATGTGGCATAAATTTAGTGGTTATATAAACGTGGCAGTCTGAAAAACTAGATTCAGAAAGATCACAACAGTTTCGAGAAAAATCACAATAGTTTCCAAATGTCATACCACAAGTGGGAAAAATGAGAAATATTGCTACATTGCATAATTTAAGTGGTTAAAAAAACGTAGTAGCCTGAAATTATTGGATTAAAAAAAATCATAACAGTTTCAAAATCAAAATATAGTATATATAATGGCCATTACTCAGTGTTAAATTGCCCATATTTGTTTCTTCTTCATACATACATACAAAGTAACTCTTAAAGTTGCGTATATCAAAATCGATTAAGGTAATTTTCTTTAAATTTTCTTTTATACACCAACTAGCAGACTATTTTCAAGAATAACCCATCTTTTATTTTATCAAAGCAAACTTTTTTTACGCAATAGTATTATACTATTATGAAGGGTAGATTCAACCATTGAAAATTTGATATGAAGTGTTTCGGGTGAAAACAATGGGACCTTGTCGAAGGTCCGATGAAGTGGAGAAGACTAGATTCGATCCAAGTAATGTTGGGTCGAAGGTTTCGTGCACAGTAAACACACGTAAACTAGCCTCGGGGGTGTTGCCGAGGAAGGCCCCTCCGATGCTAAAGTCAGTACAGTGTGTAGAAAGAGAACACTATGCAAGAGAATTAATTGCTTGAGGCTTTGCTTGAATGAATGTACAAATGTAATATTAATGGCTTTTATACCTCTGCATACATGGAGAAGTTGGGCCTTAGCCCAATTGGCTTGCCTTGAGGACTGATCTTTGACTTTAGCACAATTGGAGAGATGAACCTTGATCTTGGGCTTTTAATTGGATCATTTAATGCCTAGGCCCAATTGGACTAAATTGGACCCAAACATGAAGGACTTTGTACTTAATGGTAGAAACAAAACTATTCCAAATCTAACAAATAAAAATAAAAAGTTTATGGGTTGATTATTACTTGTATTAGATAACATCACACCAATGATGTGACCATAATTAAAAAAGATCAATTAGCAAATAAGACTAGGCTATACATTTTTGCCACTATTTTCACATGATAACTCTAGATACACTCGTACACATTTTACTATCATCTTTTCGGGAATAAAGACAAATTAATTAAAGGCATACATAATTACATAGTCAATTGAAAACTCATGCGAAAGCACAATCGGTTGGTACATAAGTAGTTAAAAGTAGTTGAAGTACTGGTGAGTAACACACATTAACTGCAACATTAGAATCAATTAGTTAAGGTTTAGGGAAAGACTCAACCATACTAGCAGCATATGAACAAACTATTGCCTTTATCTTATTGTTATTCATCTCAACTAGCTCGTCTCATCTTATATCGGACTATGCATCTTGTTTCTTTACACACAACACTAACTTTAAATCATACGAAGTATACTATGTACGAAGTAGACTCTATCAATGTTCATCGATTCAAGAAGCATCGATCTCCTTCAACTTTGAACAGAAGCCTGTAGTTATCTCAAAAATTAGAGATAGATTTAGCAGTAATTAAATACCTTTGGTTCGATGATGAAATGTAAGATAAATCACAAAATGCATTATGTATAATTGATATAAAAGAATTACATGTTGCTGTTATTTATCTCAGACTTTATTGTCATTCTGTGCCTACCTATCACATTTCTTAAAAATAACTTACATGTATATACAAGTTCAAAACTGCGATATTGCTCCCATGGTAAAATTCAAAGAATTAAGGAAAAAAATGTACAACAAAATTTTGTATCCTTCTCGTAGGTTCAATAGTCAGCTCTCCGGCTGTCGGAAAGGTCAGCAACAAAATTATCACCTTTATTGATATCTTTTTCCAACTTCTCCAAATAAAAACTATATTTAGAATCATAGGCACAGGCCATGCGCAAATATTTTGCAGATTCCTCTTTATGACCTTCATTGAGTAAGAAACTGAAATCGGAAAAGATAAACATTAGAAACTGGAATAAAAAAACAGATAATACGGAGTATAAACAAGTATATGCAACTGTTCTTTGTACTTTTCTTCTACATTCGTGAGACTACTGTAATCAAAATTCTACTCCGTACCTGGCAAAACACATTATTCCCTCATAATAACGCTCCTTTACAACAACAGCCTCTTCTGGCACTTCAATGTCCTTCATTCTTTCAAAGTGGGCAAAAGACTCAGCTACTTTCCCCTGATCAGAATAGCATAATAACAGCAGGTTAGCATACCACCAAAAGATTAGTACATACACTTGAAAAAAATGTCAGGAAACATAGGTTAGCATCTTGCTACAAGGACATTTATAAACAGATTCAGTGCCACTGGAAAATTGCAAATTTAACCCAAATCTAGTTAGAAAGGTCTCTCTGAGATAGTGAGATGCCAATTTCATTCACTACCTAATGTCATCAAACAGCTCTTTGCTCTTCGATAGGTTGATTAAATTAAAATCAGATATATGAACTTTCCACATGGCTTGTGTGATTGTGCCTCATTTCATTGTCACTAGTAAACTGAACATCAAGTTATTGACTTATGCATAATATGCAGAATTCATTCTTGTATGTGATGCAGCTATTAAGCACCATTAAACTGATACACAATATGGAGGTGTACCTGCCGATAATAAGCAGCGGCGGCTGACATAGATGCTTGAATGAGAAAATCGATCGACTCAGCATCAGTTGGTTTCGCAAGAGAGATCTATGACAAGAAGAAAAGTAAGGAAAAGAAAATGTCTTTGCCCTACAACATTAACCACAGCAATGGGTAGCTGTTATGTTTCCAGGATTGCAACTTAAAAAAGAACATTAAAATTTACACAAGCCATCCTCTTCAAGAATTGGATTAATAAACATAAATTGGATCACACCCATGTTGTAAACATTCATCCAAAGACATGCAAAATCAGACCTTTGAAATAGCAGATTCTAAATACTCAGCAGCATTTTCATAGTCTTTCAGCTGTAGCATAGTCTGTCCCATTACAGTCAAAGCTGAATAACACTCAGGATCCTTGTCAAGTGCCAGTCTATCGTAAGAGGTAGTTCAGTTAAGCAATCAGAGAGATGCAATGGCCAATCAAAGATAATTACTGATAATAATAATATTACCTCAGCAACGGAAGTGCTCTATTGACTCTTCCCGCACACAAGTAGGAAACTGAAAGCTGTTGAAATTGCAATATTAAAATAAAAAGAAATTATTTCACACGATTTTCTACAAGTTCAAGGTACAGTTAATCATTATCTTCAAGAAGTGACTAATCTGATTATCATGTAACTTTTTCAACACAATTTTTCTTTAAAAAATCGGGTGTACAATAATTATTATACATCCGTTGTAAAGTTGCCCTAAAATGATCAAATTTACCCCAATATGTATAAAAGTTACCTCAATATGTATAAAAGTGGCTCAGTACAAATAAAAGTTATCTACACTTAATTGGTAAAGTAATACTTTTTTAATGACTGAAAATCAAATCTTAGTGAATGAAACTTTGAAAGTAATTATATAATTATATTACCCTTATAAACCTTATCTCGTTGCCTATTTACTTTAAAATTGTATCAGGTTTAACGTTACCCAAAAAGCGCAAAAAGTTTTTGCCTTTTCATATATATAGGGACCCTCTAAAGGGTTTATGATGAAATGCACTCACATTAACCAGTTGTTCAGAGGATAAGTTGAAAGCAGAGACATGTCCATGTTCTTTTAAAGCATCCAGAAGTGCAGATCCGCTTACATTCTTTTCATGATCAACATCCACATTTTCACCCTTGCTGGGTAAGGGTGCACCCAACCTTTGGCGAATAGTAGGGTTTTGCAGACAAAGGTTCTGTATCATTTAGTGCACAATAAATGAGCTATGTATCAGAGAATTGTTTGTAACCTACACAATAACATAAGTTCGCAAGGCAGTTCATACAGAAGGGGGGCACCTCATTTCATGGAAAAAGTGAAGCTAAGTGATCAGTCTCTGCCTCTTGCCGCTGATACCAACCACAACAACAACAAAAAAAAAAAAAAAAAAAAAAAAAAAGGCCAGAGAATACAGAAGCTATAAATAAATCATGGTACTATAGGTCTATAAGCTTCGTTCTCATTGTACGGGTACTTGGAGATGGATGTGTGCTGGGGAAGAGGAGGTTGGTGGTGATGGTGTTTAATTTGTCCAGTTCAGACTATAATTACAATAAGGCTGGCTTATCAAGAGGGGAGGCTCAAGAATTTAGGAAAAAAACCATATTTAAATAGCTGTAAATAGGAAACTTAGGACAAGACAGAAACCAATTGCAGACAAATGATCTTACACTCTGAAGCATATGGTTTTAAACAGAAGATAACAAATAACTCCAAGACCAGAAATATCAAGAACCCAGTAAGCAGTTCCTATTATGACACCTGGGGATGGAATTAATTCAAGAAGGCACATGCTCCACAATGGACACAATGAAATAGCCTTCTGGCATTCTCTTAATAGCACTCAAGCCAACCTTATGCATTTAAGGAACTGATGGAAGGCAAGACAATTAGGATCAATTCTTGTATGACATAATTTAAAAGCAAATCAGCTAATATATACAATATAGCCCATATCCCAACTTGGTGTTACACAGCCTACAAGCTCAAGAGTGAGGCCAGCAAGAAGGATTACAAGATAACATGAGATATAAGCGCGACTTAAGAATCCAAAATCTGCCAAAAGTGTAACATTAAAGATCTTAATATCCCTATTGGGTTCTTTCCTTTACTTTCTAGAATTATTTTTTTCCCCTCTATTTAAGGTAGAGACTAGGAAGTAGGTGCACAGGCGATTAAATAAAATACACAAACCAAAGCTACAAGTTCTCACATTTTTCTTCTCTATAAGAAAACAAAGGCCATACTGACCTGAATAAGGCTTAGAGAACTGTTGGTCACCCAATAGACAAGACTTCCCTGACAAAACAATTGACATAGTATGAACAGAAATATTAAAAAAGATGTAAACATTACAGAAGTTTGATATCCTATGATGAGAAAATAGAGATAGAATACTAAGGCATCACCGTTAACAACTAAAAAGCATCACATATTCCGTTCTCAACAACAGATATTAATAGTATAATACTCCATCACAATTCTCATGCAATAAAATCACTTCTGCTCAGAATACAAAAAAGTTATTCAAAATGGGCAGAAGGTTCCAAAATTCCATTCAGCCAATCGAAAATAATTTTAGCCAGCTCAAATGGCACACTTCTCATTTTTTTTAAAACTGACAATATAAACAAATTATTAACTTTTTCTAGTTATGTTTCTTGGCCTTTTGTCATATACTCATACGAAGCACTCAATATAAAGACCATATTTTATAAAATGGGATCAGGGAGGAAAGAGAGAGTCAAAACAGAGATCAGCACAATATTGCATAAGAAAACTAACCTGGGGCATATGAAATCCAACAAATAGCATCGGTAATGTTAGAACTTCCAAATACCTCTTGTACAACTGCAGCCAGAGAAAGAAAAGGGGAAAAAAACGAAGGGATGTAAAATACTTATGAGACCCATAAATGTATATATGTAAAGCTAACAAGTTCCATATCCAGGCAGGTTTTTGCATATATAAAAACAATATATACAGTATAAAAGAAACCCCAACCTCTCCAAGAAAGCATTCTACAATATTATACAGTTCTATAGAAGACAGTAAAACACATCAAAATCGATAAAAATATGTTCACTCACTTTGGCTAACGACTGAAGCAATCCTTTTTCTTCTGAAGCAAAAGAAGACCTAAAATTTATCTGACAAATAAAAAAAGGGCTCAGAAGTCATAATGCATCACTGATTTCAGTCCATAAAATTGATTTAACTAATTTCAGTAGCTAGAGTGGAAAAAATAATATAAAAATAAAATAGAGACAGGATATATCCAATAACCAAAATGTAAATAGATAGGTGGTAATAGGCTAATAGCTGAAACCACCTTACATATTTCAGATTCCTGAGTGACAGTATTGTAGATTTTAGGCAATGTAGTCAGAAAGTTCACAATATAATCAATATCCCATAATTTCAGAGAGATGATCACTGCTGCAGATTTTGAAAGATGAATGCAACAACAATGTTCTTAATTTTACTTCAAAAGATGCACCTTCAGCTCTACAATGTATATGTCTGAAGCCATACATAAGCAGGAAAGAAATTACGGAGTACATAAGACACAATTACAACCTTTTTCTGAATTTAGCTCAAACAGAGATATAGTTGGTCCACACTCACAGCACTCATCTAATCAATAGGTAACAGCAATGACTATCACTGACCAGCAGATGCATAGTGCTATTAGGACCAGATATCTTCCCAACAGTTTTATTAAACCTAACACCTTCAAATTTAAATGGACATGAATCTAAGATAGGAGTTTTAGAAATTAATACAGACCTTTGAATAAATTGACTACGCACGTCCAAAACTTGACATAGAATCCAAAACAAACTGAAACCATCACAGTACAATCAGCATACCAAGAATTCAAAAACTTGTGCCTATCTAAACAAATATTTAAGTTTCATTTCTCAGACTTTCTTTTCCATGGATCCCATCCCACAGAAGAAAGCAAGAAAACATAAGATTTCTGGAATGTCAGCCAATAATTAGATACATACGACAATATACATCAAAAAATTTAATTCTATACTTTCAGAAAAGAAGTCTTCCCGTGGTAACAATATACATCAAATAAACCAGAGCACAAAAGCAAGCATCTCAAAAAGTCTAATACCCAAATTTCCCAAAACAGCAGTGAGATAGAGCAAACAAGCCTGAAGTTATCAAACAAGGAACAGAGAGTATTGTTGGGAGGGGGGTAAATAACCATCTTCTGCTTAGTCAAATGCAAGAGACCAATAAGGCACTGAGTAGCCACTGACCACCTTTAGAGCCCGGGCTCAAATTGCAAGGGGCAGGGCAGCAAATTGCACCGAATTAAGATTCATATATTAGATCCTTCCCGGATAAAATTCGCTCAGCTCAGCACATGACAAGAAAAACAATTGAGGCTACTGTATTATGTCACCCATAATCCACCTAGAGATGGCTGGACCAAACATTAAACACCCTAAAGTTTTACTCCAGAATTACCAATCAGGACGCAAATACAAAAATAATAATTGCGCTTGGATAAATTACAAAAAGCCAATTCTCTAATAAGTTGGTAATGGGGACACAACCATACAGATTTTCAGATGTAAATTCTAATAAGGATGTTAAAAACATTGATATGATCATTAAAAGTCACAGTTACCTTTTTCAACTAGTGAAAAACTGAGAATGAAGGGAGGGAAATATCCGTTACCTGGATATTACAAAAATGCAAACCAGCTATAAGTAGAGGTAAGATGGGCCCAAAAGGACCATTTGGTACTTCAGTCAAATTCTGAAACCATAAGATTCCTTCCTGCAGAAAATTACATTTTAACCTTATTGAGCAGCAAATTAAAAAAAAAAAAATATCACAACTTATAGGATAAATACTAAATGTAAACTGCAGTAAGAACAAAAAGAAGCTTGATGGAGTGGAAGTGTGGAACCATCTATACAAGAGTTAAACTTTGAGCTATATGCCACCTCTACACTTGGGCATTTAATACCACATCCCCCCTCAAGCATGAAAAACCGATGAGACTTTGGAACACAAGCAAATGAGTATTAAGAGGGCAAAGCATCACGTAAACATGTGTCACAAAACTCAAAGTTGCCAGTGACTTACAGTATCAAATCCTGGATACTGATCCAGTGACATTCTCCGGATACTAGCCATCCATAAGATGAAGCATGGGAGCTGCAAACCAACGCAAAGCAGGCAAAAATGTCAAAAACATTCACTTTCCTAAAAAAAAACTATAGCACAACCACTTTCAGCTGACCTGGACTGTAAACGATGCCAGAAACCACAAATACGTAGGACACCCTAGCGCTTGTCTTTCCCTCCGAAAATGAGAGAACTGATCCACATAACTTCTTCCCGAGAAAGGTAGCGGGATTGGACGAGGCACTTCAAAAATTCACATGGCAACAATGAAAAAACCAGTATGAAGTGTTTGGCATGGTGATCAAAGAAAAAGATTTAAAGTACAGACAAAAAGGCACCAAATTTTCTCAAAGTAAAGCTACTCCAAAAGACATATTTTGTCCGATCAGAAGGTATGTAATGATTGTGTGATTTGTGCCTAAACCAAGCTAGTTATGAATTTCCACATAAATGATTAAGAGAAAATTCCCAAAAGGGCACTATGGTCAACACTAATATTCTCAATTGTGGAAAAATCATTCAGCAGTCAGCTCTAATATAAAAGGCTCAGTATTCTAAGCGAGCTTGTTCAACAATTATTAAGTACTAAATATACAACTAGCAAATAAAATCCCCAATTTTTATAGTTCACCTAAAAAGCCTCAGTTGACATGTAATTGTTCTTAAATAGCAAGCCAATCTACAAGCTATTAGTTAGGCCAATGCCAATGGTGAAAACAAAGCCACATGAACCAAACAGAAGGCACACATTGGTCAAGTACCCCACCTATCCAAAGTTAAATGGACTCAGTAACTATTCCAGGGAGTTTGAAGTTGATAGTCCACCTTGTCTATCAAAACAATATACATAAGAATAAAGAGTTCCCACTGCCTCACGTGATCCTCGTCTCAATATATCCTTGGAACTTATTTTACTAAAGAAGCCATTTAAAATGTAAACTCTACAATTGTTCCAAGTTAAAAAGAGTGATCAGAAAACTAAAATAATCTGTTTTAACCTATAATCAAGTTGCCTTTGACAACAGAGAGAGCTAAACTGCAGAAGTGCAGATATACAACAAGTTGATGACAGGTAATAATAACATACATTTCGGGAGCATCTCGCCAATCTGCTTCATCTTGTGAAGCTGCAACACTATCCATGGAAATAATGTAATCCTCATAGCCACAGTTGATGATGCAATTACTATCCACCTACCCAAAAAAACCCAATATGATAGATAGTCGAAATTCAGTAGCATATATATGAAACATAAACCCAAATTTTCATTAGGCATCAATACGAGCTTCAACAAACACAATTACCATTATTATGATTCGTCTGAAAATTAACATAAACTCCGTTGGAATTTCAAGTTTTCAACGCATTAGAGAACATCACCTTATAATCATCCCAACAAGAAAATTTCATCCACTAACAAAAACTGAAATATACAAGTGATAACACTACCAAGGAAGATCAATTTATATGAATCATATGCATAATTTTATCACAGAAATAAGCCAATCCTATAAAGTTCCATCAAATTGAAATCAATAAGCATAATAACAATCATAATCCTACAAATTGAATAACATTAACCAATGTTGATCAACAAAATTAATATCAGAACATTAAAACAAAAAAATCTTATAAACTTAATCGAATTACCAAGGAAGACCAGTAAGGTCATGGAAACCATCAAGCACAGAGACAAAATAACGAATCGGAAGAGCAGAATCATCTAGAAGGCGATTAACAACATCAGAAATATGAGAACCGTCGATAAACCCTAATCTACGAAGCTCCGATTCAGTGACCGAGTTGAGCTGGTGAGTGAAGTCCAAGTCAGAAGGTCGAGAGGAGAAGTAGCGGAACGACGTCGTGGATGGGGAAAATAAGGAAGAAATGTGATCGAAGGTGGTCGGTAATGGCGGTGAAGGGTTTGGGGAAGAGGAGAGAGAAAGTAGGAATGGGCGGAGGAGAGAGAAATGAGTGCGGCGGAGGTGGCCGGAGATGAGCCTCGAGGTCGCCATTAATGGTGGTGGAAATTAGTCAAATTTTGACTGTGGAGAATAAAGGGGTTGTGTCATCTTACCATTTCTGGTAAAACTAGGTTGATGTAGATTTTTTTTTTTTTTTTTAGCGTGGTTTAGTTATGCCCGCTAAGCTTTGATCACCCGAGTATACCTAAAGTTAAGTGAATTACAATACATTATGGCCTTGTTTAGTTCAACTTATTTTAGAAAAAATAAGTTCAGATCAGATCAGATCAAAAAAAATAAGTTCAGATCAGAACATTGTTTTAGTGCGGTTTTTTATCGCTAAATATTCTTAATTTCGTAATGAAAAAAATTGTGAAAATTACATATTAATAAACTACACATTAACGAATCTAACAAGATCCCACTTGATATATTTTTTCCTTATAGATTATCGTACACTTAAGGTCAAAGTTTGGTCAAATCAGACAATCAGATCAGATCAGACCAGACCAGATCAGATCAGATTAGCTCAGACCAGACCAGATCAGATCAGTAAAAATAAGGTGAACCAAACAAGGCCTAGTGTGAATGTATTTTGTGCTCGCACGAGTATATTAGATTTTATTTATTACATAGACTTGTGACTTAAAGGTTATGAGATTAAATTTCATTAAGAGACCTTTAGAGTTTCATTAAGAGACCTTTAGAGTGATAATTCATTTATCGTTCCCTCGAACTTTTAATAACGGTACTAGATTGCTATTCACGTGTATATTATAACCAAAATTGTCCACTTATTTACTCATATGTCACTTGATTCACTTTACTTTCTCCTCCCTCCGGTTTTTTTTTAATTCCCTATTAGGGATTTTGGCATTATTCACTAACATACTTTGACCAATTTTTGTGAATTATACGTAAGAAAAAATATTGTCTTGTGGGTACTTATTAGAAACATCTCAATGAGTATATAATTAATATTAAATTGTTATAATTTATAGTTAATGATAATCAAAGATATTAATAGTTAAAGTTTTAAATCGGCATGTGTGTCATGTCACTATGAGACACTTTAAAAAATGGAGGGAGTAAACTAGCACGGTCTCTAAATTAACATATTGTAGCGTTTTAGTCCCTCCACTATTGAGTGAGGTAATTTGGTCCCTCAACCACCAAGGAGTACTATTTCCGGCCAAATAATTTAGGGACCTTGCCTAGTCATCAATAGTTTAGGGACCTGTTAAAATTATGTGGCAAAAAATTTATTATTATTTTATTATAATAGTTTAGGGACTTGTAAAACAAATTACAAAAAAAAAAAAAAAAAAAAAACTCTATTGAAACAAACAATATAATTTACATAATTGCAAGATCTAGCTAGGGCAAAGCAGTTAGAGATGAGAAACAAGAATAGATAAGGTAATCTGACTTTTTATCAGTAAATTGTTAAACCATTGCATAATTAGTTGACACCATCAATTGTAAATGCAAATATAATTACATAATTACGTTGTTTTGAACAGAAGACATCCTGTTTCTGAAACCAAAAAAAAAAAAGAAAAGAGTGATAATTCATACTATTTATATAATTATATTACACCTAATTGATATAATTATACCGTAGATACCTGGTATTTGAGTTTCTAATCCACTCGCAACAAATTTTTGGAGCATATGATTTTTTTTTGATGATCAACAACATTCTGAAGAACATACAGCAATAAACTATTTTTTTTTTTTACAGAATGAATTTTTGGATACTTTGTTGTACAGATAGGTTGATACATTAAATGCAAATCCCTAAAATATTAACTGATTTAGTTTGTCAGCATTTTTTTCATGTAATCATAAGCATTTTTTAAGGAAGTCCCTAAACTATTGTTGACTAAGCTGACAAAGTCCCTAAACTATTGCCAAGTATGCATTGCATGTCCCTAAACTATTGATGACTAGGCAATGCAAGGTCCCTAAACTATTTGGCCGAAAATAGTACTCCTTGGTGGTGGAGGGATCAAATTGCCTCACTCAATAGTTGAGGGACGAGTAAAGCATAATTATTATCTCTGAACTTTTGTATTTGTGTACTTTTAGTCCCACAACTTTCATTTGTGCACTTTTGGTCCCTCAACCACCACTCTTGGTGTTTAGAAAAAATAAATATAACTCGTTCCTTATTCTTATTCCCTGTAAATCTAATTCTATAAGATTCTTCAAAAAAAAAATATTCTAATTCAATAAGAAAACCCAAAAATTCTAAAATACCAAGAAATCATGAATTAAACCCATAAAAATCGCTTATTCTTCCATAATTTTTTAATTAGAAAAACAATAATATAAGGAAAAACACCTCTTCTTTCCGCCACTCACCCTCTTTCTCCATTACCACGTCTGTTGCCGCCTTCTCCGCCGTTGAAGCCTCTTCTTCCATTACAACAACCGCCATTACAACCAATGTAAGGTTTTTGGTTTTGGGGTTTTAGGGTTCTTCAATTATTTATTTCACCCAGAAAAATTCTTCAAAAAAACAATGTACAATGGTAAGAAAATCAAGGAAGAACATCTTCCTAATTATCCTCGGCCTTGCCATTATCACCTTCTTCGCCATTCTCTACGCAAACGATTGTGTGGTAATGGTGGCGAATTCGACGGCGATTTCAGAGGCGGAAAATAAGGTTTGTTCGTTGTTTTGTTGGTGGTTAAGCTTGGCCTAGGTTTTTTTTAGGGTGGGAACCATTGTCGGAGGAGAGGGGTGAGTTGGAAGCCAAGGGAGAAAGGAAAAGAGAGAAAATTGAAGGGGGGGGGGGGTTAGGGAAGAGGTGGAGAGAGAGAGAGGAAGATAGGGGAACTAGGGAACATGTACTATGTAATATTATTTTTCTTTGAAGAAAAAATTAAAATATTGCTTTTTAATTACTACAGGTTTTTTTTTTTTTTTTTTTTTTTCTAGAAAATTTACTTTAGTCTTTTTAATTAATGCTGATGAAAAAGTAATATTGTTAAAGGATATTTTGGATTTTAACACCTTACAAAAGGCTGAAAATGTTTTTTAACACCCCCCAAAAAAAAACTTTTATTTTAACACCTCCCAAAAATATAAAAGTTGGAAGTTAACACCAAAATCCATCTTCCGTTAACAGAACTGTTAGTGGGGCCCACCCCAACGGATATATTTTTAAAAGATCTGTATATAAGAACCATTCTTCCACGATTCTTGCACGATATATAAGAACCATTCTTGCACGATTCTCCCCCAATGAACGAAATCGTTGTTCTTATTGAATAGCAGCAGCGCATTGCATTGTTGCACGATACTTGAAACAATTCTTTCACGATTCTTCCACGATTTTTGAGAAGAGGAACAGATTGAAGCTGCTGAAACAGGTGAGTGCGGTCAATTGTTCGGTTGTTTGGTAATTATGGTTTAAATTCTCTTCAATTATTATTTGCAATTGTTTCGTACTCAGATTAATGGTTGGATTATGTTATGTACGCATCTAAATGCCCAATTGCGAAATTAGGGTTCGTCAGAAATTGAATTTGGGGCTTTTCGTATTATGAAATTAAAAATGAATTTTGTTGCTGTCAATGTTAATTCGTCAGTGTACAAATCTGTAAATGTGACTGTCGATCTAAAATTGATGCAGATTATGTCGTTTGTTAGCTCTTCCCCTCCTGAGGCCAGAAAATGTAAGTGTGGTGTGCCAATGGCCAAGCTCACTAGCTGGACAAGGGAGAATCCAGGCAGGAAGTTCATATCATGTAAGTTTTATGACCCAATAACAGAAACAAGGGGTTGCAAAGCTTTCGAATGGGTTGATCAACCTGATGGAACAGATTGGCAAACAGGGGTTATCAACAACCTGTTGTTGGATAAGAAGCTGCTAAAGGGTGAAGTTAATGAATTGAAAAGGGAAGTTGATGAAATCAGTGGCCAAAGGAGGTGCATACTTAATGAAGTTGATAATTTGAAGATGAGATGCAAGGCCTTGAACGCTGACAGGAAGAGAATGAACAGGGAGTGCAATGAAGGGAAGGTGTCTTCAATCAGCTGTTTTGGTTGGGTGGGCATGGCCATTTGTATAGGTTTGTCAATGGGTGTAATTTTCCTAATGGCTAGGGGTGTGTAATAGTAAGCTGTATTAAGTAGTTATAATTTCTTGTAATGACTTGAAGTGTTATAAATATGTCTTTTAATCAACCTATTTATGCCTTGTCTAAGTTCCTATTTATGCCTTGTCTTTTAATCAACCTATTTAAACATGTGAAACATTAAAACATGGGAAATATGTGAAACACTAAGATAGTTCAAGTACAGGTTGACAAAAGAACCTTACTTCAACATGTTTCAATGGCAATCAAAGCCATGCAACCATTACAATTCAATATCTAATTGTTCAAATTTGTTAAGGGAAGCCACTAAAAAACTAGCAAGTTACATAACCAGTCATGTGAAACATTGCAGCCTGGCCCTTGTTACAACACCTGTGGCTGTTGTAGGCTGACTTGAGGAAGACCTTGTCTTTCTTTTTGGTTGGCTTGAGGCAGGCTGACTTGAGGAAGGCTGAGCTGAGGATGGCTGACTAGAGGATGGCTGAGCTGAGGAATGCTTAGCTGAGGAAGACTGTGGCTGTGGGCGCTTGCTGAATGGCAGACAACCTTCTTGCTCTTGAGGAAACTTTTTGTTTCCTATGCTGTTTGGTCCAGCCCCAATTGCACTCTATGACATGCATATAAAAATAAAAAGTCAATGGAAAAGACACATACATATATAAAACAAAGGGGGAGTTGGTGTAATGCTTGTGTTACCTTTTTAGCAGCCCTAATCTCTTTCTTCTTCCTCTCCTCCACCATCCAAGGAGTGTTCAGTGGGGGTCTGCCTGCTGACTTTATCAGCTCTGTAGCTGGTGCAGCAGGTACTTTGCAAGTCTTGGCATAATGCCTATATCCCCCACAGTTGCTGCATTGCTTCTTCCTCTTGGTACTTGCCTGACCACCTGAAGAAGAACATTCTCCTGGCTCAAGCTTCCTTTTTTTGCTCTTTGGTCTCCCAGGTTGCACCTTAACAGAAGGGGGTAGTGGTTCCCTCATTCTGACTCTCTCCCAGTGCTTTGGGCCAGGCATTGGTTGGACAGCTGGTTCATAAGCAGACCTGTATGTGTCCATGGTATAGTATGGGTCAACAACAGCCTCTATGTCACCCCTCATATCCAATATGCAGGCATAAGCATGAACACATGGAATGCCAGTGAGTTCCCAATGGTAACATGTGCAGGTCTCCTTGTCCAAATCAACCAACACCTGGTCATCCTTCAGCTGCACCTCAAATGTATTCCCTCTGGATGGCTGCACCACACAGGACCTAGCCACAAAGTCTATCCTCCCCAGAACATGCCTCACATATGGCACTAAGTTGTGTGTAATTGTTTTTGAATCCTCCCACTTTTCATTATTCCTGTTCATAATATACCTCCTCATCCATTCCATTTGGGTGAGGATAGGTTTATCTCTGGCAGGCCTAATGACTGCATTGAAAGTCTCACACATGTTGTTCAACAACATGTTGGACTTGCAGTTTGGTGTGAATGCATGTCTAGACCAATGGTGGGGAGGAATGTTGATTAAATACTCATATGCCTCTTCATCGAGGAATTTGATAGACTCCATGGCAATTTCATGCTCAAACTGACATATAAAAGCATACCAGAAATCACACCAAGCATATACAAGCTAACCAATATAAAAACACACCAACAGTCATATAAAAGCATAGGCTAGCTTCAACAATCAATAAACTTACAATGGTGGTGGCCCTAGCTGCTCTCCAAAACAGCTCCTTAAAGGTTGATCCAGTGAAGTTGAGCTTGAAGTTAGCCCAAATATGCCTCACACAAAACCTTTGCTCAGCTTTGGGAATAACATCAGCCATTGCTTTAATCAAACCCTACCAAATGCAGACAAAAGTATAATCATCAGTCAATCACATACATACACATGAAAACTTAGAAATTGAACCTAAATAGTTAAGAGGGAAACAGAAGCATTACCTTTTGCCTGTCAGACATGATGGTCAGCCCAGCTCCTTGATCATGTGTGAACATTGACATAAGGGATTCCAAGAACCAACCCCAAGTTTCCTGGTTTTCAATCTCCACTGTGGCCCAAGATAGAGGAAACAAGTTGTTATTCCCATCCTTAGCAACTGCCACCAGAATTTGCCCAGGAAAGGCACCCTTGAGGTGACAACCATCCAACCCTATTAAAGGCCTACAACCCTTTGCAAATCCATCTCTCAATGGCCTTAAACAGATGAACATCCTCATGAACAATGGTGGCTCTGGCCTGTCAATACCATCAACAACAACATTGCACCCTGAACCAGGGTTGTACTTCATCACAGCTTTCCCATAATCCCACACCCTAGCATACTGCTCCCTAGCTGAACCAAATATCAGTAGTTTTGCCCTACACCTAGCTAGCCATGCCTTATAGTAACTCACATCAACTCCTAAATCATTCAAAATCCTAGCCCTAATCTCCTTAATTCTCCAACCAGGGTTACTCCTAAACTCTTCTAAATACCTCTCTGCTATGTATTCAGCAGTAAGCATCTTGTTCTTCTTTACTCTGAAGCAGGAATGGTCTAAATTCAAGGTTTTGATTTGCCAAGTTTGCTGCTTAACAAGTTTTGATGCAAACACCTTGAACTGACACTTTACCCCCCCCACACATGTACAAGCAGGCATTCTACAAGTGTAGCTATTGAACTCACAGCCACATCTATATCTACACTGAACTGTAATCCTTTTACTGTCATTATGCAAGTAGTAGAACTCATACCTGTTTTGAATGGCATGAAGTCTTAAGGCCCTCCTCAAGACTGAAGCATTACTGAATTTCTGATTTAACTTCAACTTGATTGGGTTGTCAAAGTCCACATCAGCATTAAACCAAGGAGCATAGTCCTGTTCCTCATCAGATCCACACAAACTCCTTGAATCATCTGAATCAGCATCACTTTCTGGATTCACCTTCGGTTTTCCAACATCCAAATCATTTCTCAACTCTACTCTCTTATCTTTGCCAACCCTGTCATCTACTGCACTCTCCAAACCTTTCCTAAGGCTCTTGTTCACTTTGGCCAAGATCTCCTTTGACCCTTCAATATACCATTCCTCATCCCCTTCATCAAATTCTTCTTCACCAGGTTCCCAATCTTGTCCCTCATCACTCAAATCTGAACTTGAATAACCAGATCCTTCACATCCATCATCCTTTTCTTCATCAAACCTCAACACTTTAGCATTAGCTGAGGCTTTCCTAGGTGGACTCTCCTCCCTTTGTTCAGTTTCTGTCTTCTTAAACCTAGGGCTCCTCCTAATAGTCGATGTATTTGAACTTTCTACCTTCTTATCCTTTTTTTTTGTCTTTGCAGGATTGGGTTGGGCCTCTTGTATGGGCTGACTAGGAGCTTCTGTTGTTACAAAAACCTCAACATACCCCTCTTCATTTACTGTCTCCAAAAGGCCCTTAACCTCTTCACTGTTAACTAGTTCCCTTTTCCCAGTGTTAAAGGTTTTCCCCTTCTGCCTATACCAACAGCTGTAATGCATAGGCACATCCATATCACCATTAACAAAACCATGAATTGCAGCTGTTCTAATCAAATGCACATCCAACTTAGATACTTGAACCTTCCTCTTCCAGTAACACCAACCACCACACCAACACAGCAGCTGCCTGTTTTTGGTTACTCTTTTAGGGACAAAAGCACCTCCCACTCTAAGGCAGATGTCAACCAAACTATCCTTGTCACCCATTATCTACCCACCAGTGAAAAACATATAAAACATATTAAAAGCCATGTAACTATACATGCACAATACGAATAAACAAATCCATCACAGCCACACAAACAAACACATAAAAAAATTGAAAATAAACATATACAAGCCAATGTAGGTGCTCAGTAACATAAATTAATCAACAAACCACACTTGCTAGTTTAATTAACAATAAACCACCTTAATTAATCTCTACTTTCAATTACGAAATCCAATTAACCTAAGTCGCATAGTCAGTTACAGAAATTGATTTATCAAGGCTTTCCTACTGTGGTCCCAAAATTTACCCTAATTACCCAATTATTGCAAGGTTTACAGCAATGAAGCACCAGTAATTGACGAAATTGCTATCAAAGGAGAGCAATTTTACCTTATTTTCTGTGAATTTCAAGCGGCTTTCGCACTTTTGTAGTTGAAGAAGATGATGAAGAAACCCTCCTGAGCTTATCTTCTCCAACGTTGACACCACCCTACACTCCACTTCTCAGCCAAGATCTCCTTTGGTTCAAAAGCGAAATCAATGAAGGTTCAGAAAGAATTCAATGCAGAAGGTTGCTGCGAATTCAATGAAGAAAGAAGTTTCGTGTTTTGCTGGGTGAAAATTGAAGTTCAAGCCAATTTGTGGGACCCACGTTAAATTTCCGTGACGGAAATCGTTAACTGGTGTTAACTTCCAACTTTTATATTTTTGGGAGGTGTTAAAATAAAAGTTTTTTTTTGGGGGGTGTTAAAAAACATTTTCAGCCTTTTGTAAGGTGTTAAAATCCAAAATATCCATTGTTAAATAAAGGAAAATGATAAATTTTTTTTAATTGGTCACGTGTCATGTAGAGGTCCCTAAACTATTGCTCACAACATTTGCCATGTTAGATAAAAAGATTATTTTTTTTAAATAAATTTTGACAAAAAAAAAAAAAAAAAGAGTTATCGTCCCTAAACTAATGCAAACTAGGCTAAGTGCCTAAACTATTTGATCAGATACACCATTCAAGGTGGTTGAGAGACCAAAAGTGCACACACAGAAGTTGAGCTACTAAAAGTGCACAAATACAATAGTTTAGGGATTGTATTTGTGGTTTATTCGTTGAGGGACTATAATGCTACAAATACGTTAGTTTATGGACCTTATTTGACGTTACTTAGTAAAGTATGGTACTTTTTTTTATTTTTAGAACCAGTAAAGTATGGTACTTCGTACTGTACATTATTCGAAAATATCGTACTACAGTCTATAACTCGTAAGCCTCAACACAGCAGTTAAAATGAAGACAACACAATTCACTTTTATCTAGGGTTCTTACATTCATCTTTGCTCAAATTTCTCAGGTAAACTCTAATTCTTTAACAAACTTTAGGTTTTTGCAAATTTTCCATTTTCCCATTTCATATTATCTGTATACAACAAGATTATATTTTAATATCAAAGTATAACTGCTCTATATCATATTACATTTTATCATACTTTGCATTAGATCATGGAGAAGAGGATTCAAACAGAACAAAATTCAGACCGAATATCTAATTTACCAGAACCCATTAAAACGCATATACTTTCGTATATGTCAACTAGGGATGCAGCTAGTGTAACTTATCTCTTGAAGCGTGAACCAGAAAACAGTAGCCGTGTCGTGGCGAACCTAAAAGACGATTACGGGCTACCTCCCGGTGCAGTAGACAAGAAGCGGTCGCCCTCCAGGATAAGCACGGCGCCGGAGTTTATGTGCACTCACAAACCCGACTGGAATTCAGAATACTTGCCCAGAAACAGTGTTTAGTAATTTTTAAGAGAGAAGAGGGAGGAATGTTTTCTGTGTAATTTCGGTGAAGAGAAGCTGATCTTATATAGGCTGCAAGGGGGAGCAACGGTCAACATGGAAGGAGGAAGTAACGGCCAAATAATTAAGGCAGTAACTGCTGCTGGCTGTTACACTCCGTAATCAAAGAATGAACCTAGCCAAAAAACTGTCCAGATTGAATAATCAAGGGTGTAACGGTTTAGCTGTAATCACGGGATTAATCACAGAATCCCAACAGTAAAAAACGACTAGAATAATATTCTGTCAAATAAAATTCCTCCAAAAAGATAAAAAGACCCACGCCCGCGCATCGCATTTCCCAAGGCCCGAGCCCGACCTGGCTCAGCGCACGCGCGCATGTGTGTGTGTGGTACAACACCCACCTCCAAGTCACTCAACTAAGAAGTACTAACATAGTACAATAGAAAAATAAGGAGAAAACCTTTCCCTCCACCAATGTGGGATTTTTCCCTTTTCATTTGTGACTCTGACTATCTCTTGTTTTCTTTCCTTCACTCAACATTCTTACTTTTTATATCAAGAACTTCCAACAATCCCCCGCAGGTTCGAAGATATGAAAAAGAAAGAAAGGAAAAACTATTCTGGGCAAAAACAAAACAATTGCATAAGTGTCAATGTCTCGCGACTTGAATTAACACATAGTGGACATCAAGCTATGATCCCTCACTTACCAAGTGACCTTTGTCTTGAACTCAATAGGGAGTTAGGGACCCGTCACTTTGAGCCACACAATTGAACATGTATAATATTCTGAAATTCCGCGAATAAAGGTGACGTATTATACTGTCCATACGTCCAATCCTGGATGCTCATAGGTGCTCTAAAGTATAAACCCACGGAATACTCATAGGAAGCGGCCACACTTCCACACCTAAGTAGGTGAATCCCATCAAGTGTGAGCTACAACACACCACCAAAAATATGGATATGGGTTCATTAAGAGCCATATGCTCTACCTCTTTCTCATTTGTAGCTAAGCACAAAAAAACATCTAGAGTTGGACAAAAAATAAAAATTGTGCTTCCGAATTATTATATAATGTTCCCCTTTGAACTCATAGTGAGTAGGAGTTCACTATTTCACAATTCATACAACGGGCTTTAGCCCCATTTCTTCCGATGTTTCCAAAACTAGTTTTCTACATAGGCCTTTAGTCAACGGATCCGCAATGTTCTTTTCGGACTTAACATAGTTCAGTGATATCACCCCTTCAGACAACAAATTTCTAACAGCCTTATGCCTCAGACGAATGTGTCTTTTCTTCCCATTATAGGCATGGTTGTGTGCAACAGCAATCGCAGCTTGCGAATCACAATGTAGTGCAACTGAAGGAGCTGGCTTCCCCCACAGCGGAATATCAGCAAGCATGTTCCTCAACCATTCTGCCTCATGACCTGCCAATTCAAGAGCAATAAACTCAGATTCCATAGTAGACATAGCAGTACAAGATTACTTACAAGATTTCCAGGATACGGCTCCACCCCCATGGGTGAAGATATAGCCACTGGTGGAGTTAACTTCATCATTATCGGATACCCAGTTGGCATCACAAAAACCCTCCAAAACTCCTGGAAATTTGAAGTAATGCAAACCCCAATCCATAGTACCCTTAAGGTACCTAAGCAACCTCCTTAGAGCAACCCAATGATCACTACTTGGGTTATGAGTGTACCTGCTCAACCTACTAACAGAATAAGCAATGTCAGGTCTAGTGTAGTTCATAAGAAACATAACACTACCAATAATTCTAGCATATTCAGACTGATCATCTGGATCACCATTATTTTACTTTAGGTGGAAGCTCGGGTCATATGGAGTCTTAACTGGATCGACATTAAAAGAGTCAAACTTTTTAAGAAGTTTTTCAACGTAGTGTGACTGATTAAGACGGATGCCATTTGAAATCCTTTTGATTGTTACTCCCAAAATTACATCTGCCTCACCCATGTCTTTCATTTCAAAATTCGAACTCAAAATCTGTTTTGTTTCATTTACTCGATCCAGGTCAGTTCCAAAAATTAGCATATCATCCACATAAAGACAAATAATCACACAACCAAGACTATCATGCTTAGAATAAACACAAGAATCACCTTCATTAACATGAAAACCATTACCAGTCATAGTCTTATCGAATTTGCCATGCCATTGCTTTGGAGCTTGCTTAAGCCCATACAATGACTTGACTAACTTACAAACCTTATTTTCTTAGCCCGGAACAACGAACCCTTCAGGTTGGACCATGTAAGTCTCCTCATCCAAGTCACCATTCAAAAAAACAGTTTTGACATCCATTTGGTGAACAACAAGATTAAAAATGCAAGCAAGAGCAATTAGAGTCCTAATGGTTGCAATCTTAGTGACAGGGGAGTAAGTATCAAAATAATCAATGCCAAACTTTTGAGTAAAACCCCTTACCACTATCCTTGCCTTATACTTGTCTATGGATCCATCGGCTTTCAATTTTTTCCAAAAAATCCATTTACAAGTAATGGGCTTGCAACCTCTAGGAAGCTCAACCAATTCCCAAATGTTATTATTTAGAATTGATTGCAACTCACTATCAATTGCTTCTTTCCAAAAAACAGCATCAACTGACCTCATTGCCTCATCATAGGTTCTTGGATCATCTTCCAAAACAAAAATATGCACAAAATCATCATCAATTAAGGAAGATTCAGATAAAAAGGAAGTAATTAAATCAGGACCAAAACTGTTGTCCTTTCGTGCCCTTTTACTTCTCCTCGGTTCTAAAACAGAATTATCATTAGTAATAGGAGAATTAGCAATAGGTAAACTAACAAAACTACTAGCAGGTAATTCACTATCATAAGGGGGAGACATTTTCCAAGGAAAAATGTTCTCAAAGAATTCAGCATCTCTTGCCTCAATGATATGACCACCTGCATAAGAGTTGTTAGTACCTCTAACAAGGAAACGATAAGTTGCACTTTGATAAGCATAACCAACAAAAATGGCATCTATCGTTTTGGGACCAATTTTGTCCCTCTTGAAACTAGGTATGCCTACTTTTGCTAGGCACCCCCACACTTTCAAGTATTTCAGGTTCGGCACTCGACCTTTCCATATCTCATATGGAGTCTTGTCAAGCTTCTTATGAGGAACCCTGTTCAAAACATGACAAGCAGAAAGAAGAGC